CTGCCGTAACATGTAATCTCAAACATCTTAATAAACTATAAACAACCCTTCCTGCACCATCACCAGCATGCTAGAGGTTAGCAAGGGCGGGTCACTGGAGGGAGCCGGCCCACCTGTGTGACATTTTGGCTGGGGCACACATGCATAGAGGCACTCCCCAACGCTTTGCCTTATCCCCCTCATCTCTCTGACGCTCCTTGACCTGTCATCGGTGTGATGATGAAAGGCGCAGCTCTGATCGATCCTGCAGCACTACTGTATTACTGTGCCCTGTACAGCTCTCCATGCCCATGCTCCCTCCCAAGGAGGGAGCAAATTAATACGTTACAACTACACTACCATGCTGACAGGCCAGAAATTTAGTGGCTGCAATTGGGGGTGGGGGGAAATCTAGATGCCAATTGGCGTAGGAATTCTCTCTAATCTCCTTTTAGCAGCAGTCCCTAGGGAGGTTTTGGTTTACAAGCTGCAGTCTGTTCTTTGGTCATTGTTCCTCCTGAGCCCTGGGCTGGCTCTGCTGCCCATCCAATTGAAGGGCTTCCTCACTAGTAAAGGGGAAAAAAAAAAAAAACCAACCAAAAAATAACCAACCAAGGAGGGGGAGCTGCAAAGAGCTGAGCTAGAACACTTGCACAGCTCATAGTCCTACGTGGCACTTGGAGCATGTTGAGAACCACCCACGGATTAACCCTGGCAAGCCCCTTGAGGTGGGTCTGTCTTACTACTCCTTGTTTGCTGCTGCTCCTCGGTGGCAGGGAGGGGTGGCAGAAGGACCAAGCCATTTATCTCCTTAGAAAGGAGGCAAAATGGCAACAGAAAATCAGGGGAGAAGAGTCTTGGGGTAAGGACAGTAAAGACACAGGTAATCTCATGGGTACTGTAATCCTTGAAGTCAAACAGATACATTTCAGTTACTGCTTATCTGTGCAGCCTTCCATTTCTCCAGCAACATCTGAGAATTAGATTTGTGAGACAGGATCTGAATTCATTTTCTTACAATTAAAATAGTTTTTCTAGGGGTGTTTTAGTTATAATTCAGCAACAAACTGTACTATCTACATGGGGTTAATAACAGATTGAAACCACTCCTGGGTGCAGGCTTACCAAAACATTTCAGGACACTTGTGTGAGAAAGCAGAGGGCAGTTCTCTATATGCTCTGTTACTAGCTAGCAAATTGAGGAGACAATGGGAAAGAAAAAGTGGGATCTTCACTGCCAACACTGAATACAGCTCCCAACAGTTCCCTTTTGTTGTTTGCAGGAGCAAGCAAAAGCTGATGAAAACAATCCCAGCGCACTTTCTGTCTCTCTAACAAAGATCAATGGTTAGAAAGAATGGAAAAACCCTATTCTGCACTGCCACGAGGCAGATCCTACACAGATGATGAAACGACCATCTGTGTAGTCCCTGCTTCTCTGTGGCATTACAGCATGCAAGAGGCTGAGGCCTAAGCTTGAACACCTTGTTTTTCATGCTGTAGTGCACTGTAGAGCTCTGCAAGGAGCAATGCTTCAGTAAGTACAGGAATGTACACTGATATTTCAGCAGAGTAGTCTTTGCAGACTAATTGAGTCTTTGTTCCCTGGTCTTTGGGTTGGACAGCCTCTAGCTATCTCACTGCACCTACAAAAAGCAGTAGCACATCCCCATTACTAATGTGTGAACTGGGATATGCTGCTTTGCGTTTCATCTTTCCATCAATATAAACAGTAAACAAGATGGACCATACCCAAAAGTAATAAAAGATACAAAAGACAAACATACCTGTTCACTCATCTGACATCACAGCTCTGTTCTGCTCTGTCCTGTGATGTCTCACATCTCTCTTTGTTGTAGCTACTGGATTTCCATTGTCTCAGTTCACAGTTCCTTTTATCTTTCTAGGCTGCTCTGAAGTTTTCCTTACCTATGACTAGTGTCCTCATCAGAGCAGAAATACAGGTCTCCAGGCTCAAACTACTTTGTAAATTAAATCACTAGAGCCATCCTTCAGATGCCCTTTAAAAATGCAAGATCCTTTATGATGCAACAAGTCAACATAGAAGAGATGAGACAGTTTTACTCATTGGTAAATAGATTGTCTTAGAAATGACTTCAGATACATCAACAAGAAATACAGCAAATGAAAATTGCTGATGAATGATTGCCATTCTCTTACTTCTCTAAACGACGGTAATGCTTTTGAGATGCCACTTATGCCCATAATTTCAGAAAGAATATGGTACAGTAGTTTGGATGTCACAGTGTGTTTCCAGGAAAGACTAATTTCAAAGATTACAGACCTCAGTTACTTGACTGCTTTTAAAACATCCTTATCTAGGGCTAGGTTGCATAGGGAAGATGGCAGAGACGGTCTGAAGGCATTCAACCAAGCAGCTGGGCCTTTTCCAGTACTGCGCTATGATTTCATGGAAAATACACTTAGGGATAAGGATCTTTATATCTAGTACAGAATAGAGGTTTCTTTACAGCTGTGGTTTGTGGCAAGAAACCCCCACACATTATTGGTTTCCCACATCCTGCAGACTTAGTGAACAGCTTTCAGGCAAAAACTCTGTCCCCTGTGGTATATGCGGGCACTGTTGAATTATACTAAGGAATACCAATCTTTCAAGCGGTGTCTTCTGAAGACAAAGATTTATTCCTCCCCTTTTCAGCAGGGTAGTGGTCTTTGTGCAGGGCGGTATTCTTCATCTCTCGTTCTATTTGGTTGGTTAGGCAAGATGATACTTCACTGCTGTCCAGAGAGACTGACGCAAGAAATGATTACATGTAGGGGTTACGCATGTTGCAGAAAGCAAAGGTGACTTCCTTTTCTGGTCTGCCAACACTCAGACCTTTCTCACTAGCTGTTTACAGATATTAAATCATCATACAGAAATCAGCATGAGGAATTACAATAATATATCATGGCCAGTGCATGTACATCACTTGATGAAAGAAGCCAGCTGGGTCATATCAAACCAGAGATTTCCTGACACTCTT